TAGGAAAAGGTTACCTCACTGAGGGCCTTTTCAAGCTGAATGTAATGGTTGTTGAAAATAATAATAAAATTTCAGCTTCGTCTTACTTACTTGAGTCAAATGAATTATGGCATATACGTTTGGGTCATGTCAATTATAAAACCTTACGGAAAATGATTAATTTGGAAGTATTGCCCAAGTTTGAATGTGACAAATCAAAATGTCAAGTATGTGTGGAATCTAAGTATGTTAAACATCCTTATAAGTCGGTTGAAAGGAATTCAAATCCTTTAGACTTAATTCACACAGATATTTGTGACATGAAGTCAATACCATCTCGCGGTGGAAAAAAGTATTTCATAACTTTTATTGACGATAGTACTCGATATTGCTATGTTTACTTACTTAATAGTAAAGATGAAGCAATAGACGCATTCAAGCAATACAAAAATGAAGTTGAAACGCAACTTAATAAGAAAATCAAAATGATAAGAAGTGATAGGGGTGGTGAATATGAATCTCCTTTTGAACAAATATGTTTAGAATATGGAATTATTCATCAAACAACGGCCCCTTACACGCCCCAATCCAATGGGATTGCAGAAAGAAAGAATCGTTCATTAAAGGAGATGATGAACGCATTATTGATAAGTTCTGGTTTGCCACAGAACTTGTGGGGGGAAGCCATTCTTACGGCTAGCCGAATACTAAATCGAGTACCCCATAGCAAAACACAATCCATTCCATATGAAAAATGGAAAGGAAGGAAGCCCAACTTGAATTATTTTAAAGTGTGGGGGTGTTTGGCAAAAGTGCAAGTTCCTAAACCCAAAAGGGTAAAAATAGGACCGAAAACCGTTGATTGTGTTTTCATAGGATATGCGACTAATAGTAAAGCATATCGATTTCTGGTTCATAAATCAGAAAATCCCGACATTCATAATAATACGGTTATAGAATCAGATAATGCTGAGTTCTTTGAAAATATATATCCGTATAAAAAGGAATGTGAGTCGATTGGTGAAGGATCTAAACGACCTCGGGAAGAAACAAAAGAAAGTACACTTAACCAAGAGGATCCAAGACGTAGTAAACGTCAAAGAACGTCTACTTCATTTGGACCAGATTTTGTGACTTTCTTATTGGAAAATGAGCCTCAAACATTTAAAGAAGCTATGTCTTCTTCGGAATCATTGTTATGGAAAGAGGCGGTCAATAGTGAAATAGAATCCATACTGAACAACCATACATGGGAATTGGTTGATCTTCCTCCTGGAAATAAACCGTTGGGTTCTAAATGGATCTTTAAGAGGAAAATGAAAGATGATGGCACTATTGACAAGTATAAGGCAAGACTTGTGGTCAAAGGGTATAGACAACGAGAAGGTCTTGACTATTTTGATACATACTCTCCAGTTACAAGAATTACATCCATACGAACGTTAGTAGCGTTAGCTGCAGTTTATGGTCTTGAAATTCATCAAATGGATGTTAAGACGGCCTTCTTAAATGGAGAGTTGGAGGAAGAAATTTACATGGAACAACCTGAAGGGTTTGTGGTTCCAGGTAAAGAAAAGAAGGTCTGTAGACTTGTTAAGTCCCTTTACGGATTAAAACAAGCACCCAAACAATGGCATGCTAAATTTGACCAAACAATGTTGTCAAATGGATTTAAGATAAATGAATGTGATAAATGTGTGTACATTAAAAATGTTCCAAATCACATAGTCATTGTTTGCTTATATGTGGATGATATGCTCATAATGAGTAATGACATTGCCAACATAAATGCTACTAAGCGTATGCTAACTAGCAAGTTTGATATGAAAGACTTGGGAGTTGCTGATTTAATTCTGGGAATTAAGATCCATAAGACTTCTCAAGGTCTAGCATTGTCACAATCTCATTATATTAAGACAGTACTTGAAAAATTCAAGCACTTGGGCTTTAAAGTTGCAAAGACTCCAATTGATGTGAATCTTGCATTAGCAAAGAACAAAGGCCAGAGCATATCACAATTGGATTATGCTCGTGTGTTGGGTTGCTTAATGTACATCATGAATTGTACACGACCAGATATAGCTTGTGCTATAAGTAAATTGAGTCGATATACGAGCAATCCAGGCCAATCTCATTGGATGGCCATGAAACGAGTTTTGGGGTATTTAGTACATACCCAGGACTTTGCTTTGCACTACAATAAATATCCTGCGGTCATTGAGGGATACTGTGATGCAAATTGGATCACCGGATCAACTGATTCCAAGTCCACAAGTGGATATGTATTCACTATTGGTGGAGGAGCGGTATCTTGGAAGTCATCCAAACAAACTTGTATTGCCCGCTCTACAATGGAGGCTGAGTTCATAGCCTTGGATAAAGCCGGTGAAGAAGCTGAATGGCTCCGGAATTTCTTGGAAGATATTCCATTTTGGCCCAAACCGTTGGCACCAATATGCATACATTGTGATAGTCAAGCGGCAATTGGAAGGGCTGGGAGCGTTATGTATAACGGTAAGTCTCGCCATATACGACGAAGACATAAAACCGTTAGACAATTACTCTCTAGAGGAATTATCACGATTGACTATGTAAAGTCAAGTGATAATGTGTCGGATCCACTTACAAAAGGCCTAACTAGAGAGGTAGTTGAGAAGTCATCAAGGGGAATGGGACTGTGGCCGAGAACAACTCATAGTGGCGGTAACTCTACCTAGAAGACTGGAGATCCCAAGATCTAGGTTCAAGGAGATCAAACAAAGTCATTTATTACGGTTCAACATTGTCAACTAAACTTTTGGTCCATTCTCGTGATGAGACAATGTTCAGTACCAAGGATAAAGCATTAAGGCTTTTTAATGATTTCTAAATTTGATACGGGGTATATCAAATAGTGTATCTACGGGATGACACGTTTAGGAATCACCTATGTAAGTGTGAAGTGTTAGCCGCTTCAAGGAGAACATTGTAAGGCCAGTTCTCTACGCACTTATGAAACCAGGCGGTGTTCATGGCTGAAAAGAACACAACAATGAGAACCAAAGACGGTTAAGGGTTGGTTGTGTGACTTGTGGTTGTCTAGGTATACACTAAAGTTCGACGGTTCAAAGATATCAAATCTACCGATTGATCGAGTATATCCGACATAAGTTCACTACGGAAAGTTCAAAGGGAAACCTACTTATCCAGATGCAATTAATCCTTACTTGCGAATCACACAGTTTTTCATGCATACTTCCGTGATATAGCCATTCCCCATTCATGTGGGGGATTGTTGGGTTTTGGATGTATTTAATTAATATATTAAATACTTAAAAGAGGGTGAATGGGAAATGGAGGGAAATAAAATTTTTGAGTGAAATTTTAAGTTCCCCACCTTGGCAAATGGGCATTGTCCCATATTGGAAGAGGAAGAGGTTTTTTATGGGTATATAAGCAATTGCTCTTCTTCTAGCTCTTAAAGAGTTGAGAAGAAGGCAAGCCTCGCGCCGTCGTCGTCGTCGCTCGCTCGGCTCGGCTTCGGCTTCGGCTACGGCTACGGCTTCGGCTTCGGCTTCGGCTTCGGCTTCGGCTTCGGATTCGGATTCGGATTTGTAACTATTTCATAATTCCAAGGCCCAGAAAAAATTTAATGCTTTATTATTTCTAAACTTAATATATAAGTATATTTTTCACATTGTAAATTTATTCGGTACAGTTCGGTTTTTTTTCGGTTTATTTTCATAAAATAAAAAACCTACCCTAATTATCGGTTCGGTTATAGATTTATATAAAAACCTACGATTTTATTATAAGAAACCTAAAAATCGGTTCGGTACGGTACGGTTCGATCGGTTTATTCGGTTTTTAAACATTCATATCATTATAGATCCTTTACAGGAGGTTGCGTGAGGACAAGTAGCTAAAGGTGGTAGAATAGGGTGAGTGGTACCACTTAGATTGCGGCCAATTTTTCAAACTAAACATCATATGGGTGAGAGCATGTGAAACTCATAATTACCTCGTAAAATCGGTTGAAATTAGTGCATGTTATATAAATCCACATATTTTTCTGAGTTTTATACAATATTGTTCCTGAAAGAACGACTTGATTTATAATGTTGACACATAAGATAAGTTAAACATATGAGTTGTTTAATGTTTAAATATAAGAAAAACATATTTGTTAATATGTTACTTCTTAATTTTTTTTTAATTTTATAATATAATAAACAACAACTATATTAGGAAGAGGAAAATGTAAGTCTGAGATAAATCTTTTGGATCCAATATGTTCAAAATTTTTATTTTTTAAAAGTGACCATTATTTGGGAGAAAAAGTAAACCTTTAATTTGAAACGTATAACTACTAATGAATTGGCTACAATTAGTTTTTCTGATATTCTAATTAATCTCATAAATGGAGAGTTCTGTTTATTAAAGGCTAAAAAAGATAGGTGAAGAGTTTGTGAAGAAAGTCTATTGAAAGATAGGCCTAAATCTTGTTTTTGCCAAAGATCAACCTAGAACTATTGGGCTCGTTTTTAACATGCTCCATTATAACCTATTAATGATAGATGTAAACAACAAGGATTGTGGTGGAGTGATAAGTACTCATTCATCTTAACTAAAGATCTCGAGTCCGAACCTTGGGTATGAAGTCGCATTTTGTTAGGGAGCGTTTTACATCTGCCTCACCCTCCCACAATAACAAAAACTATTGAGTTGGACTGAACTTGTAACCGACATTCTAGCTCAGCCTCTAAAATAGATATGTCAATCGTCATAATGCCATAGGCCACCCAATCTAAATTTTCATCATAATACACTGATTTAAAATTTCCCCACGAAGGGGTTGTTTAATCGGTTGGTACAAGTTGCCAAATATTAATACACATCTCGATAATCAGATGTGTATTCAAATTCAGACATCTCGATCTTAAAACAAACAAATGAGGCCTAAGCTTCATTCATTAAAATTGAACTCTTATATATATAGGCCCCAAACTTCTTTAGTTTACATATCCAAAGACACAAAATAGATGGCAAAAATGAAAGATAATTGTCATGTTCTTCTTGTAACTTTCCCATCCCAAGGCCAAATTAATCCATCTCTTCAATTTGCCAAGTGTTTAATCAAACTTGGAGTAAATGTCACCTTCTCCACAAGTTTATCAGCACAAAACTGCATGTTAAATAATCTTCCCTCTATTGAAGGCTTAACTTTTGCTCCATTTTCTGATGGCTATGACAATGGCTACCCCAACGTTGGCAAATCCCTCGATGAGTATCGAGAGTTCTATGCCTCCTTCATTGCTCTTGGGTCCGAGTTTGTGTCCCGAATCTTTACTGACAGGTACTACTAAAAAAATAGGAATTACCGACGAATGTTTTGGTAATGTTGGGCTAAGTTAGCTCAAAGATACTATTAATATGATATGATATCATCCACTCTGAAGAAAATTTGCACCAGTAAGAGTATATTACACTTTACATGTAGCTTCTTTTTCTTTTTAATTATCAGTGTGGGAATTCAACAATACCAATAATAAACCCAGTATAATCTCAAAAGTGGGATTTGGGGAGGGTAGAGTACATGCAAACCTTATCCCTACCTAGTGAAGATAGAAATATTGTTTCCAATATACCCTCGGCTCAGAAAGAGTGAGAAGAAGAAGAGGAGGAAGAAGAAGAAGAGGTAGAAGAAGAATAAGGAGAAAAGAGCGAACAGGAAGAGAGAAGGAAGGGGGGGAGGGGGGGGGGGATAAGTGTGGGAATTTATTTAATGGTTTCAATTGATATTTGACACGGGACATAAATATATATATGAAAAATTATTAAAATTTACACGAACATAATTAATTTCAGCACATAATTATAGAAGTATGATGAAAGAACCTTAAAGGTTGGCTCTATCAAATTTATATTCTGAGTCGCTTCTAGTCATTAGTCCGACGTTAAATATGATTAGCGACGGACTTTTCTGTTTAGCGATGAAATTTATCCTCCGCTAATTCCTGTTTTTTGTAGGGCGAAGGAGGGGCGCCCATTTTCGCGTATTATCTACACGACCGTGCTCTCTTGGGTTGGCATAGTGGCAAAAAGGCTTAATGCTCCAGCCACACTTCTATGGATTCAACCAGCCACACTTTTAGACATCTACTACTATTACTTCACTAGTTACAAAGATGCATTCAAGAATTGTCCTGATGATGAGGACAAATCACTTGAAATTCCTGGGCTTCCATTTCTTGTAGGTACTCGTGAGATTCCATCATTTTTGCTATCGAGTGATGGACTTATGGACTGGCTAATTCAAACTATGAAAGAGCATGTTGAGTTAATAAATAGTGAAAGTAATGAAATAGTACTTGTGAACACTTTTGATGCTTTGGAATTTGAGGCATTGAGGGCTATAAAGAATGTGAATATGGTAGGAATTGGCCCTTTGGTTCCTTCATCTTTTCTTGATGGAAAGAATCCTTCTGATACTTGTTATGGATGCAATTTGCGACAATGTTCAAAAGATTACATGGAGTGGTTGAATTCAAAGCCTAGTGCATCTGTAGTTTATGTAGCATTTGGTAGTTACTCTGAGTTACCAAAACAAATGATGGAAGAGATTGCTAAAGGATTGGTACAAAGTGAAAGGCCATTTTTGTGGGTAGTTAATGGAGAAAAACCACTAGAAAATTTGAGTTGTAAAGATGAACTTGAAAAGCAAGGCAAAATAGTGTCTTGGTGTTCTCAAGTAGAGGTTTTACAACACCCTTCTTTAGGTTGTTTCTTGATGCACTGCGGATGGAATTCGACTCTAGAAAGCTTAGTTTTTGGGATTCCTGTCGTGGCGTGTCCGCTTTGGACCGATCAAGGTTGCAATTCTACGCTTATTCAAGATGTTTGGAAGACTGGCGTGAGAGTGAATGCGAATGAAGAAGGCGTTGTTGAAGGGGCCGAGTTCAAGAGGTGCATAGAAATTGTGATGGAGGATAGAAAGGAAGGAGAGGAATTGAGAAAAAACGCAAAGAAATGGAGGGACATAGCTAAAAATACTATGAAGGAAGATGGTTCATCTAATGTGAATCTAAAGGCTTATGTTGATGAGGTTCTTAAGCCATGCATAAGGGATTATGAGAGATGCATAAATTCTTAATGATCGTTTGATTTAGAAATAAATTATGCAGGAATTAATAATGCAAGAATAGTAATACATAGATTGATGAGGTTGTATTACGATGTTTAGTTTGATGTATTCAATAATTTTATACAATGTATAATAAGAATGTGGTTTTTTTTTTCCGCTTGTGTGCTATTAAAACGTAGTTCTCTTTGTAACTTTAGTTATTTTTAGTCCATACATTACTAATACTTATATTTTTATTGTACATTTTCGTGCATAAAATAATACATTGCGTAACTTTAAAAAGTTACTGTATAGTAACCAAACATTGTGTTAATAATACCAGACTTTATGTGGACATCAATTTTTCCTATCAAACCAACCAAACGACTCCTAAGCATTCGTTTCTTCACCAATGGCTGTAGGTTATGACACGACCCAAAACCCCACTTCGAGGGCATGATGACGCCAAGCCGAACTTGCTAAAGAAGCCAACTTACCATCCATACAATAAAGTTCATTTTCTTTAATTAATAATGATGTAACATAAGTAAAGACAATAATAATCCAAAACATTAAAGAAAGATCTGATAAAGTCTAACACGAGAATTTGGTTTAAGGCTGTTAGTCATGAATCATGATATAATGTAACCATGGTTAAGTTGTATATTTTGTTTCCACGACGGTTCTGCCATAGCACATTATTATATTATCTACTAACTGGCTTTCAGGCTCCTTTCACTGCCTCATACCCCTTCAAATCCATCACTAGAGGTGGAAGAACAGAATATTGCAGTATGCCAGACTGCGACTAATGGAATTGAGAGTATGATTAGAGAAACTTTTCTGTATTTCTGAATAGTATCATCTGTACAAGGATATACATGTATTTCTAGAAAAGAAAACAAAAAGAATAAAAGAATAGCCTATGAAATTTGTACACTTGTCCTAATATTATTTGTGTATGTCTAACAAAATAACTAACACATCATTCCTTCTTTAAATGACACATTACGTGCATGTGAGAATCTTTTAGATTTTGAGTACAATTTGGACGGACCAGATTTAATCCATCAACATAACTTTGAGCAGCTGAGATGAAGCCACGTGGCTCATTGACTGCCTTAGTGTAGTCAAAATTAGGATTGTGTCTTAGCTTAGTTTTGTCCGTCTTCAACCTTAGCTTTTCTTCTTCATCATCCATCTTCTGCAAAATTCTTTCTTTTCCACAAGCTTTCTCCTTACAAAGCATAGATCCATTTATTCCAACAGCGACAGATTCTAGTTCAACTGCTCAAGACTGTAAAATTGAGACAGATTCAAGTACAACTGCTCCAGAATCTAAAATAAGCATCGAGCATAATTTAGCTCAGGTACAATATATTCATTATAGTGTATGGATACAAGCTATTTAATACCCTGTAGGATTTTATTTTTGATTCTGGACTGCTAATGTTGTTTCTTTCGATCTCCATCTTTTTACCCGTGATAGGTATTGCTATACACCCGGTTCGGTTCTTTCATTAGCAGTTGACAAAATCGAAGTAATCCTATCTAATATTTTTAATAGATAATTTGGCTGGCTGACAAAAAAATCCCTATATTTGTTTGAAGGACCCTCTTCGCAGAGCAATTCAACTGGACTGCCGGCCGTGTCCAGAAGCAAAAACTCTTGTGCTGGAAATGGAAGGCCTTCATCATCAGGGGGAAAAAAAGGCAACTTCCACAAGGTCAGCAACGCCTACTGGACGTCCTCGTATTTCTGCATCCAAGCCCTCAAGAGCTTCCACTCCTACTTCAAGAGCAGCATTACCTTCTGTTAAGCCTGTTGCTTCCACAGGAAGATCCTCGACTCCAACAAGAGCTGCTCCACGCTCTTCTACCCCAACTAGTAGACCCTCGAAACCAGCTGCCTCCAAGTCAGCATCAAGGTCAGCAACACCAACTCGTCGACCATCAACTCCATCGTCCATTCCTATTGTATCGGTTTCTCGGGTTTCTGGGGCTCGATCTTCTTCGCTGACAAAAACGGGAACCACAACCTCGAAAAAACTGCACCATCACGAGGTACCTCTCCAACTGTGAAGTCTAGGCCATTGAAACCCTTGGAGACGCCAAGTCTTTCGCGTGATTCTTCTATCAATTCTAAGACATTGGTGCCTAAAAGGCCTGCATCTGCATCTAGGGGAAGACCGACTGCACCTGGTGCTCGACCCTCTACCACTAATTCAACTTCTGATGGAAAACCCAGACGGAAATCATGTTCTCCTTCTAGAGGACGAGCAACAAATGCCTACTATTTTGAGCAATGCAATCACTCTACTGTCCAAAAGTAGGGGGCACGGTTATGAGAAAGATGATGTGAACCCTGTGTTGATCGGCACACAGATGGTTGAAAGGGTAGTAAACATGAGGAAGTTAGCTCCCCCGAAGCAAGATGATAATCCATATCACGAGAACACCTCCAAGAAATCTTTGTCCCTGGAAAATTCAGGCTTCGGAAGATCAATTTTCCAAAAAATCTTTGGATATGGCTCTACGGCACATGGTACATACCTTCTAATAATGCTCATTTAATTTCAATAAATATTCAAATTAAAAAAGTTAACTACTAATGCACTTGGTAAGCAAACTTCGGGCATACCTATCACAAGCATTATGAGACATTCTATATCATACATTTACGTTTATGGATCTCTTTTGAACAGGATATAAGACGAAGTGTTAATGGAACCTTACGCCCAGTTCTTACAAGGGTCTCATCTTCTTCAGCAAATGGTATCCGGTCTAGCTCCACAAAGAACAAGACAGGTAGTGTTTCTGACTCGCCACTTGCCACGAGCAGCACTGCTAGTTCCGATCCCAGTATCAACAATAGCTCTAATAATGTAAATTGGAGTGAACCGGAGGATGATAACTTTGGTTGTGAGAGGGAACTATCCTCCCCTACTAGCCAGCAGCATATGGAGCAGTAACGTGTAGGACTCCGTCTGATATTTATTGATGATAGGCTATAATTACGTATTTTAGTCGATTATTACACTCTAATTTACTGCACTTTAATTGAGTTTGAGCTTTAATCGCTAGTGTTTTGCACTAATTGTATGTTTTATGCCTTGTAGGAGTGATTCCGAGCTATATAGATGTTATGGAATGAATTTAAGTGATTTGGAGCTTTAAATTTTGAGTAAAAGTTCAAGGAATTAAGCCGTAATCGTGTTTGGGGGTCAACGGATGATAGTTAGAGCAAACGAAGACTCCAGTAGGCAGATTGTGCACTGTCTAGTAAAATGGACATAACTTTTCTCTCAGAACTCCATTGTGGCTCCACAATATATGGTTGGAAAGCTAACTCAAAGGACTACAACTTTCATGTTTTACGTTTTTCCAACTTCGGAACGGAACAGGGTGAAAAATGCCCAGATGCGCGGCCGCGCTAGTTTTAGCGCGCCCAGATGCGCGGTCAAATGCGCTGCAGCGCTAGTTAAGCCCGGGAAAAGTGTCCTTTTTCACATTGGAGAAGTATAATTGTTTGGGCCCAACCCTACTTGGTATATATACATAGGAGAACGTTTTTGAGAGTAATTTTTGACCAAGGAAGAGCACAGAGCCGCCGTGGAGGCCGGGTTTCATCTTTTCTTCCATCCAACTTAGTCTTTTTATGTTTCTTTGTATGATTTGTTGTTTTGCTACCATGTCTATGTGGAGCTAAACTTCACGTTCTAGGGTTGTGGTTCTTTCATGACTATTGTTATTCGGATATTGATTTTGATTTCTTAGTTTATCATATTGGTTTATTTATTCAATCCTGCACTTAATTATTTGATTGCTTGATCACCAATTGAATACTATCTACGAATCTAGAGTTGAACTCGAAAGTGGGAATTCTAGATTGCATATAGGATTGAGTAGAGCAAGTTCTTGAACCCGGGCCTCGGGGAACGGATTAACAATTGGGATAGACATATACCCAATTGCCTTGCTTGGTTGATTTACAGGAATTATAAATTTTTCTTGTTGATTCTAATTCCATAGACATATAGGCGTTAGGTTAGCTTGAATAGGCGAGTAAGGACTCGACAGATTCTTATGAGCAATATTAACCCTGTCAACCAATAAACTAGATAAATTAGTTAGTCAATTCAATTGAAGAATACAATAGGAATGTTAGATAGCCCATAACCCTAGATCGTTTTCATTACATTGATATCATAAAAATCTGCTCTTTCTCTGTCCAAAGTTCATTATTTGTTTTTATTTATTTTAATTAGTTTAGAATCAAATACTTCTAGGTTTAATTCTTGTATAGATAATTAGGATAGTCTAATTTAGTTAATAGTTAATCACAAGTCCTCGCTGGAACGATACTCTACTCACTACTTTATTACTTGACGACCGCGTGCACTTGCGTGAGCGTTTGGCCGCAACAAGTTTTTGGCGCCGTTGCCGGGGACTTAGAAATTAACTAATTTTCTAGATTAGACTTTAAATTTTATCCCTTTTCTTTGTATATACTTTTATTTTTACAAGTATTTGATATTTTTCTCTTAGTGTGTTCCTAGTTCTCTCAGCATGACATCTGGGGATGAAATATACGGAGGTAAGGCTATTGATGAAGACTCTTGGTTGACAAAAGACTTTTATGGCTCGTATTTTTGGTCTTGTCATGGCCTGACTTCTTAGAGGTCTGAATTTGAATATGGGAGTAAGGGTTGGTATTGGGAAGAATATTCACGATTAAGGGAATATGAGGAACGACGTTGTCTTCTAACAACGTTGGTGAATGATTGGTCTAAGGAGAGAGATGAACTTGCACATAAAATTGATAATTTTGGCTTGGCTGTGCATAACTTAGATGCAGATTTGAGCACAAAGGTTGATGCGTATAACGCCGAGCAAATTAATAATGAGTTATGTGAAGCTGAAAAAAACTCTTCTAGACCAAATTGAGGAGCAAAAACGAGAATACCAATCACTAGTCCATGTTTTCTTG